GTTGTTCTTGTTATTTAATTTTTCCTGTTGTTTTTGAAATCCTGATTTGCGTTATGCAATTGCATTTGCATTGGTTTAAAGATACCATCTTTGTGGGCCCCTTGCAATTGTCCTAATCTGCCGTCCCCTTATGCCACCCCTGAATGTTAGTAACCAGTTTATTTATGGTTACGTAATGCAAGTCCCTCAATGCCGAGGCAAGATTATGAGACGTAGTCAGCACTGTGCTAACTATTGGGAAATAGGCTTCTATTACCTGTTAGCCTCTTAGCTCTATAAAACTAAAGAAGCAAACTTCAGATATCTAACATGTCTTGGCCGACTGACTACATTTGCGGCAAGCGAACAATTGTGTAAAATAGATTTTAAGCCAAACCTTCACTTATATAAAATTTATTCTGAGACTAATTTAAGAGGGGAATACGTACGACTGACAGAGTCTGGTACTGAATGGATGTGAGGTTCACGCTGATAGCACACTCTGGAGGCTGTGGAGGACTGTACAGCTTCTTTTCAATGATCCCATTAGCCAGACATCGGCGCGAAACACAAGCTGTTGTGGGTCCCACCAACACTATGCAACCAGAGTGCAATTCACATTAATACAATATTTTTCTCACTGACAAATCCTGATAGAATATCAAATTGTACAGCTGAATCTAAAATAAGAGTTTAAAACAGCAAATTTACATAGCGTGATTTACACACAGATTAGCACCCCCAGTCAAACATGTTGATTTTCTAAGTAAAAATAAGCTTAAAAATAACACATCCTTCACAGAGAATACATTTCTGCACATTTGAATGCACAAAAATACAACATTAAATGCGGCCTGTGCAATTTATATTTTTTGTTTTACTTTTTTTTCTAACATGTGAAAAATGCCGTATTAGAGTATGGTTTCTGTAAAGGATGTGTTAACATACTTTAACTTAGAAAATCAACAAGAACATGTGTTTTGACTGGGGTGTTAAAACCTTTGCATGCAGCTGCAACTAGTAATATTGACGACTTACCTGTGAGGTAAAAAAGGACAAAGAGAGACTTCAAAATCTTCTTTGTAGATACCATAGCCTTACTACAAATAAAAAAGTTTTCACTGCAATAATACAGTTCAAAAGTTTGGAATCACTGTTTTTAATAGTATTAAACCAATTCTGTTGCAGAGGCATATATACAGTGATTCTTATATTAGACGAATATTCTATAGGTTTAAACAATTTATAGAAAGATGTAAAAATTAAGTAATTTTCCAATGATAAACTGAATGGTAGACGATTCCATAATAACTGTGAAAGTTGTATAGCATCCAGAATGAACTTATAATGAAATTATATCCATGCCTCATATTCATAAAGTGTTCAATTTATAGAAATTTAGAACTTTTGTCGCCAGAAATTGCTATAAACAAGACCTTTACTATGTTTTTACTATGAAATAAACATGTATTTATATTCCGCTGTCTAGTTCATAACATTTCAGCCTACACTGTAGAAATTACTATTGAATATCAATTCATATCTCATTCCAAACCAGTTGCCCATCACACTGTGTGAACATTTTATGAACAGTTGGCCAATAGAAATGGTGTAAAATGATGAAAATCTTAATAAACTTTTCCAATGAAGTTACGATTTTGGATATACGAAAATAAAGTTTTGTTACAATAGCGATGTGTAACCTACCTTTAACTGAAACAGGTGGAGGATCTTGGCCAAGCTGTGCTCTCTTAGCTGAACTGCAGCTTATGTGAATCTTTCTCCAGAGAACAAACATCAGATGGCAGTTTAAAAGGCTCCGCTACTCCAGCATGTGTCTAATGTGTGACGTAAGAGAAATGCACAGCTAAAGCACCTATCACCAAGCGTAAACACGACTATGTGATGTCTTCAAACTTGTTTTATTGGCACGTAAGTGTATTATACTACATCATCATACCTAATTATCTTTGATCCTTTCACCTGCTTTTGGTCCGAATAGGCTACACTCAGCAGTACCGCAAACCAAATAAAGGATGGTTTATCTGAGAACTATTCACTTTGCTTTCCATCATCAGTGCTGTTGATCTTGATGTTAATGGAAGGGAACAATACTACAGTAATGAAGCAGGTTATTACTTCTGTGTGGTGACTCAGTTTACTCAGTCTGTTGGTTCAGTTGGTTTTGATTCCAACTGATAATAACATGAATATGTGAGTTTGTTTAACTTATTGACAAAGATATATCAGTTTACTTAACTCTGCAATGCCCAAGATCCACCAGGAGGTTCAGGCTTCCATTCTTCACTTAAGAACAACTCCACCAGTGTTTTCCATCATGTAGTTCCTGAATAGCAAGACTCAGGATGTAATAAGCCTGGGAATTTTACAAGGTTAACTAACACTCTGCAGCTTGGCGTATAACAATATAAAACAATGTATCAGGCATCAGGAAGCATATTTATAACCATTTCATGCGATTTCTTTCTGTGATTCTGTTGCTTTTAGAGGCATTAAACACTCTGGATGTCTGGTTCCTATCATCACCACTGTGAACAATTCTAACACTGCAAGTTTCAGTAGAATGGCACATTTTACATTTAACTGTACTGAATGAGTTTGTATACATCATAATAATTGAATTATGTAGAAATGTGAAAAATTGGTGGATTCCCCTTTAAATCATTAATACATTTGAGTGAGCCAGTTCCATCACTGAATGACACGATTTTTGCCTCTATTATGTCAAAATTTTGAGGCAGCATGACTATTTTTACTTTTCTCATGTCTTTTTCTGCCCCACACCTAGTAATCACTCACAGACCTGAGCTCAATAGGAGCATCTCTGTATTATCAGCTTTCATTTTGCCATTTGAGGAATGTACAGTTTAAGGTTACATAATACTACCATTAAAGTCTTCTGTGAACAGAAGATATTTCAGCTTTTGCATTTGTTTCTAGTAAGAAAGTAGGCTATACCAAACAACCCTAATTGCTGGAAGCTGTTTTTGAGCTTCCGCATTGGTTTATACCAGTTTTTTATTGTTAGATTCATTAAAGACAGACACCAAAAACAAGAAGACGGCTAAAATTGAGACAACATATACAGTTCTGTGTAAAAGTCTTAGACACCTAAGTACATTTAAAACCATTTATCCTGGCAGTAAGTGCATTTTGCTTGTAAAATCACCATATACCATTAGAATAGATGCCAAAAACAGTTGTAACATAGAATAGTTAAATTCCATCACCAGCAAATTTAATTTAACATAATAAAGTACTGATTTGCCTTCATGATGTTAAATGATAACTACAGTTAATACTGGGCCACCACGAGGAAAGGAAATGGTTAAACAAACACATTGAGATATTTAATTCCTCAAATGGTCAGAGCCCACCAGCAGGCCCAAAGTTTTATTATACAATTCTATAACCTGTCTTCCTGACAAATAATACAGACAAGGAGTGCTTGATATAACAGACATTGTCACATTTTACTAGCCAATGATGAGACATAAATATGAAGGTACATATAATTATTGCATTCTGTAATTCAGGTTGATGGTTCCAGTGAACAGTAAGAAGTTTTAATAATGGACTAGAACAAATCTGCAGGACTTTACAGGAGCTATTCTGACCACAAGCACAGAAATACCCTTGGAAAATGCAGAGGAAATCACTGTGAGTTAGGATATAGCCAAGCCATTCTGACAAAGTAATAACCAAGGCAGAGACAGGCTTTATAATTTGGGCATGATTTTACTTTGTCTGACCTGGGCCTGTATTCACACTCTTTTGAAATGGTTCATTGTAGAAAAAAATTACTGACTCAAATTTCTTTAAAGTGAAAGGAACCATGGCTCACCATGTTTACAATGAAAATGTAGCCATTTTATTTACTATTAAAAATCACTAGTGAACTTACTCATGTCTTCTAAATTTTATATGTAATGTTGATAGTAGTAAAATAGTGGGAAATCTGAGAAAGAAATAATCTGAGAAAGAAATAAGTTTGCTTTGGGGAGTCAAATTGCTTTCTTAACCGTTTAATTATGCAGACGTTTTGAGAATTCAGTGGAATTTCCACTGTTATTCTTGTAAAAAACAAATAACAAATAACCTAATAGCCTACTTTCTTATGTGAGTACTTGAGAAATTCCTAAAGCTACACTATGTAGGTTTAAAGGATTAGAACCCCTTCTTGGTGGAAACTGCACAAAACATGCAGAAGAACATTTTGTAATGTCGGTTATGCTTCGCACTCCCACAAGCAGATGAATCTGATGATAGTGAGCACTTTGAAGGAGTATTAAATGAGTACTAAATCAAAATTAGGTGAAGGACATGTCTTATGAAGATGTGAGTTAATTATCTACTATTGTCATCATATTTTCATCCGTATAATGTTGATTTTAGATTTGAGACTTAAACGTTAAGCTGGAGCTTCTTTTTACGTTTGTGCATGTAATGTCAATATGTAAAGATGTATGACGTGGTCCAAAACACTCCTGCTGCTATTACTGTGTCAGGCTATACAGGGCTTGCAGACTAACAGCAGTGCACATCAGATTTTACCTCTTCTTTAGAGTCAATAGTGCTGCTTTTTTCAACTTTAATTAAAAAAATCTTACATAGTGCACCCACCCCCCCCAAAATGCATATTTGTAAAAAAAAACTATTATAATATTATTACAGAGACTTCCATTACATTCACTACATTAGACTTGCAACTCTAGTTTAAAACTAAATAAGCAAATTTTACACACAAAACAATGCCTGATTAATTACTACATTTTGGGGGTCTTTTCTTCTTTTTAGTGAACCTTTAAGTGATCCTTTAAGTGTTTTTTATTTAGAAAGGTTTCATGAATCCAGTTGCCTAATCGTGTCACTGTGGCCCTTCTCTAAATACAGAGCTGTTTACTCAAATTCAGAACAAAAAGAATTATGAATAGATGCTACGACATATAACAATTATCACCTTTAATTTTTGAGAATGTGAGAAATAAGACACACAAAATTGAATATTTTTATTAACTAAACAGTATAAAATTTGTACCTATGATAAACAGAATCATATACATAGTAATTCATGGAAGACCTGATGGATCTGCTGTGTGATACAAGACCAGCGTCCTTTTCTGCAGTCTAGCATTCATTTGTCTGGTCTTTTAGATTAGGTACGTTTTGACACGCTGAACATATAAACTTTTTCTCAGAAAAGCTATAAACTTGAATGGTCCTTTATACTTAACCCTGAGTAAAATCGACTTCAAACATGCATATGAAACCATAAGACAGGATAAAGACTGAAACAAGAAGTGACCCTAATCCTCATCGTTTCTTTACACTGTTCATTATTTCATTGATGATTTTATGAACTCCAGAAATCCAGATTATTAATCTTGCAAAATTCTGTTCTGGTAATGGCAGTTAAACATATGATATAAATAACATCAATGCAAAAGTAGATCCAGAAGCAGATTTTGTCAAAACGGTTTGCAAAGAACTGCCTCTTCTTTGACTCCTCATTGGCCTTCTCCATGTTCTCCAAGAAAGTCACAACTTTCTGGACTGAAGCTTCCTCTGTAGACACATCAGCATAGACTGTAGCCACACCATTCAGGCTTATATCTTTAGAAAAATGACAAAATGGAGGAGATTTAAAAGTCAAACATTTGAGTAGGTTTAAAGTAATGGATAAATTTCATCTTTTCATAGTAGTTGATTGTGTGCTACTGAAGTACTGAGGCAAAGCTGAGCTATTCACAATGATTATTTATAGTCTTGAGAGTCTATAGTTGGTAAAATATAATTTTTAAAATAAAGGTGCCAAAAAGGGTTGCTTAGAGCACTACCATAGAAAAACCACTTTGGTTCTCTAAAGATCCTTTTATTGTATAATCACTGCTTTCTATTTTTATTAGCATTTCACACACTGTCCCAACTTTTTTGGAATTTTGTATGTCAGGTAGTTCCTGTAACATTTACTGTATCTGTCAGATGTCTGCACTGGTTTGGTGCTAGACTACTGTGATGTTTGTAATATATTTCAATATTTCAACAGTTATGTTTTTACAACCTACCCTGCTTTGTATCAGTTTTGGCTTTGAGTTTGTCTGATTCATGTCGTTTCGGGAGTGTGCAGGAAAAGAGACTGCCATCTACAGCTAGTCGTGTGAAGATCATGGATGCCAGCAAGCTCAAAACCAGAAGAACCAAACAGAAGCAAAAATGGTAACCTGGCAAGTACAAATAAAATGTTTTAGTATTGCACTAGATACACAGCTCACAAATGTTATCAGAAGCATATTTACTAGGATTCAGTGCACGACCTTAACATTCCTTTGACCATCCCCCCTACTCACGAATTAGAGGGCTGCAGAGGCCAGTGTCAGGAAGACTGTCAGTGAGAATGAGGAGGGACATCGTGAAGCTGAGGACTAGCGTGATTTTGAAGGAGCTGCGCTTTCCCCCTTCCAGTGGCAGAGCAAAACTCACCAGGTCAGCCACCATGATGAGCACACTGGGCAGGATTAGTGTCACTATTGTGTTGAAGGGGTTGATGGACATGGTTACCTGACAGGTTAGAGGGAAGAGGTTGAAATGCAGAATCAGGGGTGGGGAGAACCTTTGTAGGCCAAGCCAGTAGGAAACATTTCGGCTTTGTCAAATAAACATGAGTATTGAGAAATATATTATTAGAAGAGAACAGCAGATTAAATGGCACTTTTTGTGTTGGTCTTAAAGGGTTAACTACTGAGTTGCTACAGGTGTGCTTAATGAGGCAAAATGCTAAACTCTGTGGAGCTGTGGCCCAGAAGTGAGTTTGGAATGCACAAACTCACATCTTGAATGAGCTTTTAAAACTTAGAAACGGTAAAGCAGATGGTGTTACACTCTTAAAAAAGATGGTTCTTCAAAGGTTCTTTAGTAAAGACAGTTGTTCTATACAGAATCATAAACACGCAAAGAACCATCTGCACGCCTAAAGGGTTCCTTGCATGGTGAAATGGTTCTTCAGATTGATTATGGAATGTGTTGTTGATGTGCTATTATTAGACAATTAAATGACGTCTGAAATGACTACAAACTTCATACAGTTGGCTCTGTATTATACATAAGTACACAATCTTTGGGGACCCATACTTTTCTCATCTGATACAACAATAAACCATTGGGCAGGTTAAATGGCAGAGATTCATGACATCTGGGAAAACACATTATAGTATATGTCAAAAATCACGCATGTATTCTCTACATGGTTACAGATATACTAACTGTGCACTTCTTTAAATTGTCCTTACATAGAGATAGTTGCGATCCAGTCTGTCTTTGTTCCCACGAAGCTCCACTGACAAGGTTCGCCATTCCCCACGGTTGGTTCCCACTGTAGATATGGTTCCATACTGGAAACGCAGGCCACAAGCTGAATGGACACAACAGTAAAACATAAAAAGTGGTCACGTGTGCACGTCTATAAAACACACCAGTAAAATGCTGTAAATTGGCATTTAACCTACAGCTTTGGCTCCATCCATTAAGGGCCACAGGGCATGCATCCGTGACAAAAGGGTAGTTGAAGAGGTTGATTCCACACACTACTGTAGTGTACATTTGGATCGAATGCTGCACAGTGCCATCCTGACCGACCAGTATATCAGTAGAGACAGGCTTTACCTCTGTCTCAACTCTACCGCAACAAGAGAGAGCCGAGAAAAAAAATCAGGGTAACTGATATCAGTATATAAAATTACAGTAGTAGTGATACGGTAATATAACAAAGTCATGTACATTTCGTTTAAATTTTGTTTTACCTGGTTTTCAGCTTAATGTGAAACAAACAGTTCATATTTTATGGTTTAGAATGGTAAAATGGTACTTTCAGTTGTTAAACTGTTTAATGTTTAAGTAGTTTAGTCAATGATTGAGCTGTTATAATAAAGGTCTCCAATTGCTTCTTCCTTTTTATGTAAATTATAATAACAAATCAATTTATTCTGCATACTTATCATTATGCCTATACCGATACAAAAAGTGTTTGAAGCATGCACTCATTATGTATAACCATATTGTACATATACCTATAACCAAAGGTTTTACAAATGTGGCACAGTAAGGCAAAGGCAAATTAAAGATACTGACAGTGGATTTAACTCTCCTTCACCTAATTTACATATAACTTTAACTTCCCTTTAAACTCAAAATGTGCCACCAGAGTATTTGAAATGCTTGCATGTCCATATTGATGACCAAATACTAAATTTTCATTAGCACATATGATGTAGAGTGTTCTCTGTGCTACCATGTTTTCTATCACTATATAAAAGAAGCATGGTGCTGTTGCTATTGCTGGACGCAGTTTCTGAGCAAGCATGAACACATATTCAAAACAAAATTCAAATTGCTAAGAACTTGTGATTTATTTGTTTCATCAATGCAATAATCAAAGGTGAATGAAGTGCAGTCGTATGCAAAGGTTTGAACAGCCCTCAGTCAAATTACGTGTTTTGTTACATGTTCTCTAAGTGAAAAGAAGTTTAAGAAGAAGAAAATTTTGCAAATTTCTGTTGCATTCTGTTGCAAATTTCTGTTGCAGTTTTTGTGCACAGTTTCTATCTGTGAACACAGGAGAAGGAAAATATTACTTAACCTTTGATAGAAGTTAATGCAGAAATATTTTTTTTTTCAAGTAAATTTCAATTGGTCTGTTTATCATGAAGATTTTACACAATGTAAATGGCAAATTTCAAATTAAAACTTTTGCATGTGACTGTATGTTCCTATTCCTATGCTCAAAATAAACAGATAAACAAATTTTGGGCTTTGTTATTCTTGACATTACTTGAATTAATGACATACTTTCTCAAAATATTGACTTACTGTTTCAAGATAATGACTTAGCATCTCATACTAATGACTTAATACATTTCTAAAATAATTACCATCTTCATATTGAACTCATTATTTCAATATTTTAAAATACTGAGTCAATGTTTTAATATGCTGCTGGAAAAAAATAAAGAATCATAATTTTTTTTTTTTTTCATTCTATTTCTGTTTTCTGTTCTATATTCTATTTTTTCTCATCTACCTAGTGGGAATGTGCTTCCATATGTTATTAAAGCAGAAGAGAAGAGTAGATTTAAAGGCAGGAATAGTCCGGAATTAGCCTCAGCATTAAATGGTTACTCACGCATTGTCCACAGTAAGATCCGGGGTCCAGATTTTGTCAACTGGTAGCATAAGTTCTGTAAACTTGTACTGTTGATCTGACCATGCGAGGTCTGGATCTCTCCATTCCTGTTAAAGACAACACAACAACAGAGTATGTGTGAAAACCATCTATTGGTTGTTATGCATTTCAGATTTCCATCTATAGAACTTACCATTTCAATTTTGATGCGGCTGGAGAAACGTAGAGTTTTTGTATCCTAAGAGAAAAGGGCGGAAAAGTCATGTTAGTTTGGTTATGCAGAGAGTTTTGCATCCTATGTTCATTATTGAATGGTCAATTACAACAGTTTAAGCACCTCTGGTCAAATAACATGCTTTGCCCTTCAGGCCTGGAGATGTGCACCCCTGGTGTAGAGGATTTTTTTGCCTTATTTTTACAGCACATGTAATTTGAACAGAGGTGTTTAAATTTTTGCATGTTCAGAATGAACTGGACATTGCTCTGTTTCTTAGGAGGGGGGATACTCACCACAGACAGGGTCTCATACTGGATGGATGTGAGGTTCACCATGACTGCACATGTGGGTGGCTGTGGGGGGCTGTATAGCCCCTTTGCAATCAGATCATTAGCCAGGCATCGTCGCGAGACACAAGGTGATACAGCTCCTACCATAACATTGAACCACACTAAGAGACCAACAAAGGTGATGCATACATTCATATGCAGAATTTTTGTCATAAAAAATAAACATTTAAATGGCTGAAGTGAAACTCATAATTAAGTTATGATTGACAGTAGCAGCCTTTTTGTTTTACAGCTGTGCTGTAAGCAGCATCGCTAAAGCAATGTGAGCTGAACAGTTTCAGATATTTGTAGATATTTGTTGTCTAAATATCTAAATAGTAACATACATTTCTTACCAATTAAATGAGAAAGGATGAAGAAAATGTTCAAGATTCTCTTTGCAGGAACCATGTTGTCTTTCTCTACAAGCATAAAATAAGCTAGACAAGGCTTTCTTCTACTGTACAGTATCAACAGACACCTAAAAAATATGAAACAGCTTAAATCTACCTTCAGTAGCTTGACTTGGATACAGGATCTGACTCTGCTGCTCTTCTTAGAAGTTCTAGAAGGCAAACGTCAGATGGCTCTTAATAAGGCAGCACTATTCACTCTGACACTAATTGGCTATGACGTAAGAACTAAATATACAGCTCGTATTTAAAGCAACTACGTCCACATATAAACTCAAACCACACAGTGTAGTCTTACGTTCTCAGCTATTGAGTTTTAATGTACGAAAGCACTGATGTTTAAACACACAAGCACTGTATTAATTACCTCCATTCAGCTGGGAAGAGGGGGCATGCCTGGAATCATCTCTGACAACAATTCATGCTCAGTGTTCTCCGAGTTTTAATTAAGCTATTGAATGAGTGCAATACAACAGAAGCCATGAGCTTGTAATGACAGTTTGATGGTGGCTATTCAATGCAAATTAGGCATTCTGTTGGTTTGCGAATGAGAAGCATATTAGCACTACAATATATCTAATACCACAGCTTCTAAATATTTTTATTATTAGATATGTTGGGATAGTTCATTAGAAGACAATTTTTTTCTACATGAGCTTTGATGACATCCCATTATATATCCATAGGCATTAATATGAAGTTGGACCCCTCTTTGCAGCTATAACAGCTTTCACTCTTCTGGGATGCTTTTTACAAGATTTTGAAGTGTGTCTGTGGAAATCTTTTCCCATTCATCCGGAAGAGCATTTGTGAGGTCAGACACTGATGTTGGCCGAGAGGGTGTGGCTCGCAATCTCTGTTCTAGTTCATCCCAAAGGTGTTTGATGGGGTTGAGGTCAGGGCTCTGTGTGGGCCAGTCAAGTTCTTCCACACCAAACTCACCCAGCTATGCCTTTATGGACCTTGCTTTGTGCACTTGGCGCACAGTCATGCTGGAACAGAAAAGGGGTCTTCCCCAAACTGTTCCTACAAAGTTGGAAGCATACAATTGTCCAAAATGTCTTGGTCTGCTGAAGCATTAAGATTTCCCTTCACTGGAACTAAGGGACCTAGAACCCTGAAAAACAACCCCATAGCATTATCCCTCCTCCACCAAACTTTACACTTGGTGCAATGCAGTCAGGCAGGTAATGTTCTCCTGTGCATTTTGATCTTAGGCTTGTGTGTAGCCACTCATCCATGGAAACTCATTTGGTGAAGCTCCTAATGTGCTGCCCCTTACTGTTGTTGCTTCCAGAGGCAATTTGGAGCTCTTTAGTGAGTGATTCAATAGACGTTACTGTACACTTCAGCACTCAGCGGCCCTGCTCTGTGAGTTTGTGTGGTTTACCACTTCGTGAATAAGCTGTAAGCTTCGTGGCTAGGTGCTTCCATTACACAATAATAGCACTTACAGTTGACAGGGGCAGATCTAGTAGGGCAGAAATTTCACAAACTGACTTGGTGGCAGAGGCGGCATCCTATGACAGTGCCATGTTTAAAGTCAGTGAGATCATCAGTACAAGTCTGCTGCCAGAATTTGTCTATCGAAACTGCAAGGCTGTGTGCTTAATTTGATTCATTTGATAGCAATGAGTGTGGCTGAAACATCTGAACACAATAAATAGGAGGGGTGTCCCAATCTTTTTGTGCGTATAGTGTGGTTCAGAATTTGCAGGCAGAACTATACAAGACCAAGAAAGATTTAGAATCCTTTATCGAGTGACAGTGTGTCAGTTTTGTCAGTGTTGAGCATTAGCTATTAGTATTATGAATAACTGTCAGCTAAAAGTTTCCACAGATGTGGATGGTCAAGTGTGATGCCCAAAATCATGAGATTAACTACAAAGTCAAGTAGCTTAGTATTTTATTCATTTTCAAGAAATTAGAAATGACATTTAACAATAACTTCACAGTTAAGATTTACATTGGAGAAAAACAAATTCATTGGAAACTTGAAACATAAAACCTAGTCATGGTCATTTAAAGTACAAACACTGCCCTGACAAAAACAATTTAGAGCCTACTTACGTCAAACATGGAAAAGTAAATAAATATAGTGCTGCAAAAAAAAGAACTGCAGTGTCATTGTTTGTCCAGAAGCACAGTCCTCAAAGTTGCAGTGTCACAATGTGCTTTCCATTTGGTGGTACAGCTAAAGCTGATGTGTTGGCTTTAAAAAACTGCATCATTGTTCCTCATGGACCCATCTGCTCTGGAAGATGGAATTTTAACCCTGCAAACTGACATTCATATGAAGTCAAGGGCCTTTGCTGGACAATTTTGGAACTTGCTGGCTGAAGAAAAGTATCCAAACATAAGAAAATGTGCCACATATTTGCCAGCAAGGGGTCGATCCCTGATTGGCATCTGGCAGTAGGAAGTGGTAACTTTGCTGTCTGGAAATGGCACCGACTGGTATTTGGTCAGTGCCACTCCTGAGCCGCAGATGCCACTGGCATTTGGTTAGTGCCCCTGCTGAGCGGCAGGTGCCACTGGTATTTGGTTAGTGCCACTCCTGAGCGGCAGGTGCCACTGGTATTTGGTTAGTGCCACTCCTGAGCGGCAGGTGCCACTAGTGTTTGATTAGTGCCACTCCTGAGTGGCAGGTGCTACTGACGTTTAGTTAGTGCCACTCTGGCTATCAGTTGCAGATGCCGTTGATGAATCACCGTGAATTACACAAATGAATAAATAAAAACAAGATCTCAAGCCTTTGTTTCTTGTGTGTTGTTTAATAAATATACTGATAAATGGTCCTTACAGTGTTTAGATTTAGTATGAATAACACATCACAAATAATTCAGTAATTAGTGTGAGCATGTCTGTAACACAAGCTGTTTTCTCTAACTCTGTGCCACAACAGAATCCCACAAAGAGTCTACTAAAGCTAGCATTACTACTATTGTTGCGTAGCCTTTAGCTAACGAAGCTCATTTCGCTTAGAATTGTCCAGCCAACAGCACAACCAGTGAACCAACAAAATGATAGACTATTTGTACAAAGTCTTCAAGTAAACATTGCTCTGTCACTTTTCCCAGGTTCTGATGGCCGGTGGTGATGCTGTGATGTGCTGCTAGTTAGCCGAGCTAAGAGCTGTTGATATGTGCCAGTTTGAGTGGCATACGCCATTTCTGTGTGGCAGGTGGCACTGGCGAGTGCCACTAACCAAGTGGCACAAGCGGCAAGTGCCACTCGTTACCAGTTATCAATGGCAGGTGCCCTTCGCTAAATGGCACATGCAAGTACATGCCAACTCTGGACGGCGGAGTTGCCACTTCCTGCTGTCAGATGCCAATCTGGGACTGTACCCCCTCTCATTTGACAGCATTTTTTGAATCAACCTACTTGAAAAGAATTAGGTCCCAATATCGGTCCACCCTCACTGATGATCACTTGGAAGCCTGCTTGAGAATTGGCATCAGCAGCTACTGTCCAGACTACACAAACCTAGCTGAAACCATCAAGTGCCAATCATCAGAAAAAGGTAAGTGATTTTTCATGTGTCATTTGCCTTGTAATGCTGAATATCAATATAGGCCACTGAAGTGCATTAAAAAGCTTTTGAAAAAGGATGAGGCCAACCCCTTTTTTAAGGTAGATCATGATGATCTGTTCACTGGAAAAAGTAGATCTCATGCCACAAAACTATGGGCACCCCTGGTTTAAAGGGACACTGTGGTCTAAATGACAAAAGGAAACAGTGCTACATCTGTTGTAAACATTCTACAGCAGTGTTATAGTGGTCTCTAAAGTGAGAGTTCACAATTTAAAGACTGCAAAAAATCCCCTTCTGATGATGTATTTTGAAGATGGCTGTTTGAAAGCAGAAAGAAGGAAGATAACTAACTGCTCAAAAATCTTATTACAGTCATATAATCATATAATTGTCTTTAAATCATCAGTACAACGGACTGAATGGATTACTTAAATGACAGAAATGCGTAATCAGATGAGAAGAAACAACAAGCTAAGCTATCTGTCTAGCTAGATACCCCAGTTTGACTCCTTTTCCCTGGTTGAAAGGGTAAAAATAGTTTCTGGCGTCCATTTTGTGCTGAATAAGGAGAGAATCGCTGTTTTCTTTGCAATTCCGTTCTACAACCGAGTTGAGTTACACCATTCAAGTGGTCTCATTTTGATCAGAAAAATAACCTAACACTCTTCAAAGTCAGATGATGAAGTCGGGTGCATCAAAATTTTCAATGTAGCAGAAATGATCAGAGGTGTGACGTTGTTGCTATTTTCATCAAGGTGGAGGAAAGAAACAAACATAACTTAATCAAATAATACTGTACAGACAGGTGAAGTAAATTTAAAATGAACATACTTTTTATTTCTGCTTCGTTTGTGTTTAAAATACCAGTAAGATAGGCCAAATATGATAGATGCTAGCTAGCTAGCTAATAAGCTACAATAACCATTTTACAACCTTCATGATTTGTTTTGATCTCCCACACGAGCATATTGTATGAATGAGTTCCCCTTTGGAAGATCCAACCATTAGAAATTCAGCAAGAAGAGTCAGGAGACTGGAGCTTCGGCGTTGACTGGAGTTTATTTCCACATACAGAGTATGGGTACAGCGTGGTCGATCAACAGTCAATCAGCAGTATCAGGAGTCTAGTCTAACAAGAATATTTTGGAAGGACCTTATATACATTGAAAAACAAAGGAGGGGGGAGAAGGAACAAAAGGACTTTGAGGAGGTGTAAGGAGGGGTTGTAGATGGGAGATACAAATAGAGATGTAGGGGGTAGAAATAAGGGGGGTGATTGTTATCACGTTAAGGTCGTGAGACGAAGGGTCATTTAAATACAAACAAAGGAGGGAGGGGAGTTATCACTACTCTGCAAGCAAAAGACCATTTGCTAAAACTCTACAATAAACTTGGTTAAGATTATAAGAAAATAACAGATACAGGAGAATAACATATGTTGAGAGAATTACATTAGAAAGGAAAATAACACATGGTGACAATATTTTCTCTCACTACTGCCTGACTTGCACTTAAAAGCAACGTAACGCTGGCTTAGTTATATTTTTTGTCTATAGCTCAGTGGCTAGGGAGGACTGGTTAACACATGCTGGGTATTTTAGTGATAGAATGAATGAAAAGATGAAAACAATGTAAAATCATTACTTCAGATAAACCGACAAGGCTGAGGGATATATTGCTGCACTACAGAATGCCGTAAAACATAATAAACTTGAAGAATGAAGAATATAGTAATATAATAAGTTGGAAAAATTGAATTTATTTGTTGAAGATAAAGGCATGATGATTTCACCAAACTGGTTATCTCAGATAGAAATTCATGGCCTGTCTAGCTGGTGGAGTATACAGAGTTAAATGCATTTATGTGAAAATGTACTGACACTGAACCTACTTCAGATATGTAAGTATGTGGTGCGTGTGCATGATAAGCAATAACTCTACAATGAAACTACAATGAATTATTCCCAGAAGTCCAGATTGTTAAACTTACAGTATTCTGTTCTGGTCAAAATGGTTACACATACACTGTAAATGATATCCAGGCTCAAGTATATCCAGAAGCAGATTTTGTCCAAATTGTTTGCGAAGGTCTGCCTCATCTTTATCTTCTTTTCCTTCTTGTCAATGTTTTCCACAAAACTCACAATCTTCTCCAGAGAATTTCCCTCCTTGGTCAAGCCAGCAGATTTTGTTACTGCACCGTTCATGTTGAGGTCTATTCAGATAAAAGATAGTATTACTGGATAGCTGTAGGTGTATTTTTCTTTGTGAAATATTATATTGTGCACATACAAATGTGTGACAAATTAAAGGAAAAACTTGAATACATGAACGGAGAAACATAAGTGCTGTGCAGACCCAGTGGACCTCAATTTTGCATCAAGATGATGAGAGGAAAAGATCTAAGTGACTTTGAAAAAGGGTTCAGCAGTATTGGGACACAGATGGCAGGAGCTTCAGTCACAAAGACTGTTCAACTGGCTAGAGTTTCAAGGAGAACAGTGACTGAAGTAATATCTGCATTTAGATCTGTGGGAAAGACATCAGTGAGTAGGCTTGGAAATGGTGGTCAAAAAAGCACATACTGAACAAAGGTGATGCTTGAGTTTTAGTGTGATATGTAAGAAAAAACAGAAGATCAGTTCCTCAGAATGAGAATGTCAATGCTGGACATGGTCTGACAGTGCCAGCAAGAACAGTCTATCCATGATAACACAGAACCCTCATTACAAAGACAAATGCACGTTTGAGAGTTCAGTGGTGTGAAATCACAGGCACTGGTCTATAAAGTAATATGGTCAGATGGGTCATTGTTTACCATATATACTACAAGTGGGCGAGTGCACGTGCGCCGATAAATGCCTACACTCAGACCCCTATCCCAAGGGATCCAGTGGCTCTGTTATGCTGGGGGGGGATTTTGCTGGCATGGTTTAGGTCCCCTTACAAACCTACAAATTATTCTGACTGATCACAGGGCACAAAGGTCACTGAATGCTTTGGTGACTATAAAAATTATGTAAATCATACTGTATGTTAGGGCCTTCATAGTCACCAGATCTCAACCTAACTCTGATTGTATATTGTGTATGTATTCTAAGTACATAGATTTTTTACATTTTTGTGCAAAATTGTGTTTTTACTTATTATTATTCCTTGCATGTGCAGTGCCCTTGAGATTTTGAACTTTATTATTATTATTATTATTATTATTATTTTTATCATTATTATTGTTATTGATGGGCAAAACCAGTTTGAAAGATATGGAATAAGGCTTGTGAAAGGCAGTTTTGTGTGCGTTTTCTTACATCCTAACTGAGTTTTAAACCTGCCTGATTTACGCAGCTCTTTGAGTTTGAAAGGTCGGATGCTGCCATCTGTAGCCAGCTTTGTGAAAACCATGGACGTCAGCATGCTCAGCACCAGAACAAACAGGCAGAAGCAGAAGTGGTAACCTGACAAACAGAAAGTAGAGATATAGCTCAAAACATGTTTAAGAAATGACCAAAATGTAGCATAATCATACATAAGTCATTGCACTAAATAGCTACTTTTGATGCAGCACTTTATTTGATTCTTGTTATTTAAACAAGCAATTGATTTTTTGTTTAAGAATGTAAACATACCAGTTTGGCTTATTAAACAGGAATTCCACCGAATTTTCAAAATTTCTGCCTAATTCAATGGTTGAGATGTTAACAAGCTCTTTTAGAGTGGTTTGATGTAAAATGATTCATTGTAGAGAATCTGACTACATCAGATTTTTTGTGCAGTGATAGTGATAGGAACCAAGGGTCTCAAGATCTGCAATTTGAATCTAGCCGTTTTTTATTATCCAAATTGACTAGTGAAGCTGCATGACTTCTGAGGTTTTTTATGTAATGTTGATGATGGTAAAATAATGATCAAATTAAAAAAACTTTTTTTGGGAATTGCTTTGCCTTACGATGTTCTGCAAGTACCTCTCTGCCATGAATTAAAAAAAAAGCTAAAAATCTCATCTCAAAGCTCTCATAGAACAACGCATAAAGCAGCATATATTTAACAATTTTATGTAATAGCTTTATGTGAGGGAGCTTTTAGAGGCACTAAATTCTTCAGATGTTCCTGTCACCACCACTGTGAACAATCCTGACTCGCTAAGTTTCTCTTGAATGGACCATTTCACACCAAACCACTCTGAGTGACTTTGGTTACATCTTAATGTTTTAACTAAGCAGTAATTTTGAAAAAGTTGGTGGCATTCCCCTTTAGAATGTTTCATGTCTTCATTTAGTCCACACAGTGTGAACGTCAGGTTTAAAACAATAAGGCACATTCAAGCCAAGAAGCGATCAGAAACCTTTATTCTTAAGAATGTGGTGTAGTAAGTTAATGTAGCTCATGTTTAACTAAATAGGCATTTATATTGAATAGTCATTACATTATCTCATGTTATAGGTATCTTTGATACTGTTGTATTCATACTGGAGTCCTACTCACGTATTAGAGGGCTGCAGGCTCCAGTATCAGGAAGGTGGCTGGTGAGGATGAGGAGAAACATGGTGAAGCTGAGCACCAGGGTGATTTTGAAGGAGCTGCGTTTTCCCCCTTCCAGCGGCAGAGCAAAACTCACCAGGTCAGCCACCATGATGAGTGCACTGGGCAGGACCAGTGACACCATTGCATTAAATGGGTTGATGGACATAGTGACCTATTTCACGGGATGTGTTTGCAGGGGAGGGTGAAAAAACAGTTAACATTTAGTCCATTTACTGTCCTGTTGTATCATATCTTTTCTGTGCTGTCAAAATGTTTGCTTCACACTTCCATTAAGGGTGAATTTTCAGCAAAATTCAGTCGTTAAGATAAAAACAAATTAAGTCAGAAAGGCTTCATGTGAAATGCTCCATTCTAAGGAGACTCCCCAAAGGGAAAAAAATATATAGACATATTTTTGTATATTTGAAATACATGTCAAATACGTGGCAGCCCCTGCCGAAATACATTCCATACACTAAAATGTATTTCAGAATATACTGCCATATTACCCAAATACATTATTTAAATTGTATGAGGAAATAGTACATCTAGAAGTGTACCGGACAAATATAAATGTATGTAAATGTATTTATCAAATACATTGTAAATTTATGAAATAGCCAAAATACTTGTCTAATCTACTGTTTGGAATACCTTTTGAAATAAATCTGTATTCCAGTTTTAAACACTAGCCAGTGAACCTTTAACATGGCAAAAGCAAGTGTTGTAGGTGGTGATACACTGTAAAAATGCAGTTATGATTTGTAACCTTGTTTATTTGAAATACATGTTGTGTGAGCACTGTCTTACTGCATATGTACATGATTAATGCAAAGTACAATGCAAAACACAGAAGGCAGTACCACTAAGTTATATCTGTAACCTTTGTTAAAACCACATACAAATGAAAAAAAATATAGTAACAAATACAAATAAAAAAAAATTGAAATATATTTAACAAATATGTTTTTGGGCCATTTTTTTACATTGCAAAAATATATTTAATATATACATTTGGAATAAATATTTTTTTCCATATGGGTTACTGACTCAGAATTGTTGACAGTGGTGCTAATAGGAACTAGACATCTGAAGAGTTTTCCTCCCAGAAAGATACTACATGTATATCTGTGATCATGTTATTTTCGGAACCTAACCTTGTCTCTTCATTTTTGTTTTTTGTATTTTTAACATAATTTTAAAATGCCAGGAGCCATTTACATTGTCTGAAAATATCACTGGACGAACAGACCAATAGAATGATCAAAAATGACTTCCATTATAAGCTATAAGAATGTTTTTCTTTCTCTTGTGAAGTTACTTTTTTTGGAGACACGGTTTTATGTTATATAAACATGTAAAGACACATGTAGTTTCACTTACTGTAAAGAATGGTTCATCAGTTCAACCTACAAAATGATTTTATGTGACAGCAAGCAGTTGATCTCATTTTATTCAACTCAAAAAGTACTCTGAAAAAATCTGTACGTTTCACTAAAATGGAGGATTTAACATCAAACCACTCTAAATGACTTTGTTTACATCTTAATAACTGAACTGTGCAAAATTTTGAACAAAACCGTGGGATTTCCCCCTTAACATAGCTCTGGAAACTACTATTCTCAGTACAATACACATATCATATGATGATTTCTGGTCAATTAGAGATGATGTACTATTTAGGCATTCAAAACTCAGGCTTTAAAACATCCAGCACTTCATTATTAGAATAAATAGATTGTTTACTTGGAGAAAGTTGCGGTTGGGTGTATCTTCGTTCCCATAAAGTTCTACCGACAAGGTCTGCCATTCCCCTCGACCACTTCCCACTGAGGATACTGACCCATACTCGAGATTCAGGCCGCAAGCTGAAGAAGCACAAATGTGATCACATCATTATAGAAACTTTATCCTGTTTGTTTATTTATTACACAAACTTTTCTATAAATGTCCCAATTTTAGGCATTTCTTTATACGCTGTCTTCATTAACATGTAAATTGAGAATGATCAGTAAGTCATACATTATTTATGTATAGCATCACAGCCGTTTCTGATGCAGGGCAATATTCTTCTGTTCATATTTTGTAGTTTTCCTAACTGAATTACATCACATCACTTAATCACAACGCTACATTTTTGTTATAATCATGCAGCTGCACTGCAACTCAAACAAACTGACTGTTAACAACTTACAGCTTTGGTTCCATCCGTTAATGGCCACAGGACATGCACCCTGAACGAACGGATAGGTTAAAAGATTAATCCTACACACAACCGTGGTGTACATGATAATGGCGTAGTTCACAGTTCCGTCACTTTGCACCAGTATATCACTAGAAACAGGCTTCACATCCACATATACTCTGTAAGCACAAAGGAAAATATAACACATCTCTGAGTACAATGTATGTCTTTTTTATTACTTTCCAAGCTAAAATAATCGTACATCCATTCATATCCATCAGAAAAGTTGTAACAGCTAGCAAAACCAGGCCGGTTTCACAAAAGCGTCTCAAGAATGAAAATCTTTTTAAACGTGTCTTTATTTCAAGAATTTTCTTCTTTCCTTTGTTAACATTTCTCTCAAAACAATTTTAGGAGCAAGTGATATTGAAAAAAATATGTGCTTAAATATATTTTCTTAACCTTAAGATAGTCATTTGTCTTGGACTGTAAGAATTGACATAGTAAACTTTAACTTCTAGTGAGTTTCACAAATAGTTAAAATAAACTAGGCTGCCTCCTCCACCATCACTTCTAGCTCTAAGGAAATCATTAAGACTTTCTTAAGAGAATATTTGAGAATGTATGTTTTATGAGAATTGCATTTAAGAACATTCTTACTCTCAAACTTCGTACTATTTCTCAGGAAGATTTCTCTCATAAGACTTTTCTTACAAAAGCTTTTGTGAATCCAGCCCCAGGATTGATTGAAAAGTAAATAATAAGAAGGCAAATAAAACTATTCGAACAGTAGTGTATGTTTCTGTTATGTAGAAATTAGGAATAACAATTATCACAATTTAGTATTCTATTTTAAGTCAGTATTTTGTTGCATATCTCTTCTTTTGGATGGCAGCTATTAGTGTTGTAGTCAAGACCACCAGAGTTGGGTCCAAATCAAGAGTCAAGACCGAGACAAGACCAAGACCAGATTAAGATTCAATTTACATAGTAATAATAACATCCTGATCTGCCCTCAGGGATGTTTAAACTTTGGAAGCAATGAACATCAACAAACAAATAATATTCGATTAAGCCATCATGAAAAGATCAATTACATCCTCAACCAACAGATTTTATTTGAAACTTATTTAAACCGATAGTTGTCACCCTGTGGGCTGCAGCCCCCAGTGGGCCATGGTGGTAATGCAGGGTTTTTTTTGTAATATGAAATATGAAAAAGATTGTTTATTATTTGCAAAAATAAAACATTCTACTTATATCAAGCTAATTGATTGTTCTGGCAAAATGTTAGCCAGTTACGTTTATATTTTCAGCACAAGCAAAACTGAAATGAAGGAAATACAGTGGTGAATACATAGGCCTAGTGCTGGGCTTCATGTGTGTAAGAACTGAAAACTAGTAACTAACGCTCTGTGCCATTTACTCAGGGGTCTTTTCAAATAAGCTTTGAAACCCAGCAATTTACACTGTCACTTGGAGATTAACATAACATAATGAATAAATATCTAAGCCTGTCAAACTGAGCCAGAACTTCATTTTCAGCCTCATTAGGTGAGTCAGAAAAAGATGATCTGATCACTTAAATCCTGTATTCAGTTTTCTCTATGAAGATTCCATATCTTTCAAAATGATATGGTAATTTCGAGTCAGGTGTGTTGGAAGGTGGCTGGATCTCTGGTTTGATCATGACGAGCAATTTGTATAAGTGTTCCAATATAATAAAATAATAATAATAATAATAATAAAATAGGGGGGTTGTGAAAGTTTTCTAGTTTGCTATTATTCAGTTGGACTGGATTCAGTGTTCATTGACGAAGTTACATTCATATGCAGAAGTTTGAACACTCCCAGTCAAATTACATGTTTTCTTGAATTTTGAAGTGAAAATAAGTTAATTTTCCATTTTTCTGCAAATTTAGTGCACACTTTCTAACAGAAAATAAAACATAAGCTGTTCCATAACTTTGCACAGTCCACATTTATGATTATATTTTTATGCTATGTTTTCTCCAGTGTGCTAAATTCAGCAAATAAACAGTAATTATGCGTTAAAATATGCAAAAGTGTGTTCTCTGTAGAGGATGTGTTCACTTATTTTCACATAAAAAAACAACAATACACCATTTGACTAGGGATGCCCAAACTTTTGCATTCAAATATAATAAAGCAAAAATGGTGTATAGAATGTTATACAATGGTAAATATAATATTGCCAACATTGAGTACTTTTGAATATGGTAAAGCACAACTTCCATGTCACATTAACAAAGAACACACACACACAAAAATACAAAGTTTGTGTACTTTTCACGCAATACATTTTAATCTGTATCTAATGCTAATATTCAACATATTTGTACATACTGTATATGCACACTGAATTATTGCTATAACCCATAGCTAAAACCCATATAAACCCTGTGCCACCGTAGAGACAGTGATGAAGTAGACTTTGACTTACGCATTGGCCACAGTGAGATCAGGAGTCCATATTTTATTAAATGGCAACAGAAGTTCCTCAAACTCATACTGAGAGTCTGACCATGTGAGGTCTGGGTCTTTCCACTCCTATTAAAAATGCAGAAACATTGTTTTATATCATGTCTTTTGACCACCAAAGAGTTGCACTTTAGCACATTACTACTTGGGAGGAGGTCACAGTCCAGCATCAAGAATTGCTAAATCCATGTTATTAGCAAGAAGCAAATCTCCTGCACACTGGCATGACATTGCATTAAAACCAGTTACATACTGTATGTCAACTCCACTCTATAACACCTCCAGCTACTCAAGCTACTCACACAACTTAACCACCACACTTCGTAAATCTTGCTGGCTTGTGTGGGTATTTTAGTTGATAGGTTCACAGTAGCATTTGATTGCATGTAGCAACATTCATATTTCAACTACCTAACCTTGGAATTCAGAAGATCCAGTGATATTTATACATACTGGAATGTATGTAAATAAGATAAAGTGTATAGACTTTGGAACATGTCTTACTTCACTGTCTTGCTACTTACATCCAGTCTATCAAATGAAGTGCACACTAGGTAACTGGCTAACTTGCTAATGGTAGGTTTCTTTGCATTGTGCAGCATATAATTATACGGATGGTATGCAATCAGCAGAATTGAGTGTTGTCCACATGTCTGTATAGCACAAACAGGTGACGCATCCACTGTTGACAGAAAAGCTTTGGTAAACATTTGGAACTGACACAACAAACTGTCAGTTTATCTGTTTGTCAGTGCAGTTCAGTGGTGTCCTAAACAAGAAGGCATGAACAGACACCTGAGACAAACGTTCATCTGCTGTATCTACTGTTACCACCAGGAAAAAGCTCTCCGTTTTGCTTGTTTGCTTGTCAGTATCCTTAAAGGTGCTATAAAAGGGCTCTGAATGATGCAGTGACTATGTGATTATTTGCACACTTGCTATAGTTCCTTAACTTCGCTATAGCTCCTCGATTTGTTGGAGCAGATGGGCAGATGCCTCATGTTGTGCTCATTTTGACCAGCAGAGGGGGCTGGCTGCTGCTATCTACTAACCACTTCCACCACTTGCTTGCCTAGTTTTAGAGAATACTGCTGTGTAAAACTCGTCCAGAAGCTAGCAAGTGTCAAGTGAGTCCATAACGTTTTTTAAGCTGTGTCACATACTTTTGCAGCCAGAAATATATTTTATCCCAATCAGACAAGCTTTTGGTGAAGATAGTATGTATAATATCTATTTAACTTTGTATATATCAAATGGCACAACATATTATTAGAAGGGAGTTCATTTTTTCTGCATTTCTGCATAATTAAATCGTTTTGATGTAACCTACATGTCAGACCTCATTAAATGCACCTGGTTCAACTTATCAGCAAGGGCTTCATAAATTGTAATCATCTAGTATTAGATGAAGGAAAATGATGATCTCTGCAGAGTTTTGGTCTGGAAAGAAATCCAGTTTGACACCCCTGTTTTAGAGGACAAATACTAAAAGCGATTACTTCTCAAGGATTTTTATGTTTTCTTCTTCAGTGGCCTCAAAAGATTCTCGCCACCACAGACTCTGCATTTCAAATGTTCCCTCTAACCTGTCAGGGCACTAAGTCCTGACATGCCTGACATAAACCAAGTCATTCAGTCAACTGTTTTTACTGGCTAATCCTAGGATGTCCTAAATTAACATCTGGTGTCAGACCAAACCCAATAGGGCCCTGTAGATCACATTGCACTTACTTGGCTTAAGTACGTTGCATAAATAAAATAAACTGGCTATTTTTTTTTTTTTTTAACAGCATTAGCCGTGTGTAATTTTAATCAAGACTGGTCTCAAGATCTCTTAGAAAAGTAGGGAACCTAATATTCCCTATGTGTATTCCAGTTCATACAGATTTGTGTGGGCTTTAGAAATAAAGTAATGAATAACGAGATACATTCTTCCTAGAGAATTAATTAGTTATTTGTATTTGATTACATTTTTTGAACAATCGCTCTAAAACTGCTGGTGGCAGATGACAAGGAGTTAACCTTGAAATCAAACACGTCAGTAGCTGAGCTGTGAAACTTGGCACCTGTTTGTGAGATGGAGTGATATAAGAGCATTTGTATTGAGTTTCTTGTACTGAGAAAGAAAGCTTTAGCTTTTTAGTAAAGCAAGGATTGCAAAACCAAAGAGTTTCAATATGTGCTTTTAACAATCATTTTGAAACAAAACTGCCTGTTCAATTATTTAGGCAAAACCTGCTCTTTGACAGCTGTGACCCAGAAGGATAAGCGATTTCAGAAAATGTGTGTGTGGGTGTGTGTGTGTATGTGTGCTCTTTGATAGAGTTGTAAAATTTTAGGAAACAGCATCATTTTTAAAACATAATTTTTCTAAAACTATTTGGATTTAGATTTTTATTTCCTTTATCAAATGAAGTATAAATATGGCAGCTGTTTACAAGTGTTTTTTTTTTTTTCATCGAAAATAAATAAATATGTGAGAATATCTCTTGTATTTCTCCCTGAGCACAAAGAATGGCATTCATGTTAGTGCCTAAAATAAGACAAGCTTTTCACAAGTGTTAAACAGTTCACAGTCAGCGTTTGCTATCAGCATTGATAAACTGGTGTTAGTGCTTTGTTATGATAATCTTTTCACAGTATTTTGCACTTTGAGAAACTCCTATACATGCATATGCAATGAGGCAAAAGTGAAAAAGAACAGTGACCGCCCCTTCAATCGTTTTCATAGGCACTAAAGAGCACTTGCACTTCCTTAGTAAATCGCGACTGGTACTTCTTAACACCAAAATAAGACTTTGCCATGGTGCAAAATGATATAACCCAGTCAGATATTATCATGCACAAGCAATTTGCTTACACAGTGTGAAAACTGTGGCATCTCACACCAAAACCATGAAGACTGGCAGCCCTGGTTCTATACCAATGCATCGAAAATGTCAAATGCATCAGTCAATTAATCAGAAATACAACAAAAAAAAAAACATCATCTCAACATCTGATGGGTGTGCGAGAACGTGTTTACTGACGTACCACCCAATAGCAGGACTTTATAGACTCAAAACTACATTCATAAGCAGTGTAATTAAATAAACACTGATGTGCTGATTACATCTGAATAGTTAGACAGGGAACTTACCATGGTAATTTTAATCCGGCTAGAGAACTGCATAGCTTTGGTGTCCTGGCAAGATTGTTCAGGGAGAGCAGGAAACGTGTTAAGAGTGTTAAGAATGTTGATGATTTCTGTACTTCTAAATTCACTGCTTAAAGCAAGAGTGGCAATATTATAAAACATTTTATTGTTATTGTTGTATCAGTATAAGTTACACAACAATATGCTATTATGAGTGCACTGTGGATATCATCAGTACTTAAAGAGCACTCACCCACTGCATATATAATTACAAACAGAGCATAATTAGTCCTGTTTAACTGGCCATAACACCCTTCCCCATAATGAAGTGAACATAATATTTTGATTCTTACAACAGAGAGGGTCTGGTACTGGATGGATGTGAGGTTCACGTTGATAATACACTCAGGATGTTGGGGAGCGCTGTACTGTTTCTTTTTAATGAACTCCTCAGCCAGGCATCGGCGCGTAACACAAGCTGTTGTGGATCCCACCAACACTGTCAGTGACAACAGACGGATACAGATGTTTACAAATGGAAACCCTTAGCTATAACTGTAAAAACAATATTCTCATTAATAATATATTCACTGAACCAATCAGTAAAATTAACTCTTAATAATCAGTTTACATTTCAAGACTTTATCAAAGCCTTGGGGGCTTACTTACCAATTACTGAAGACAGAATAATGAGAGATTTCACAATCCTCTGTGTAGACATCATTCCGATCATCTACGACACTAAAGCTGCTGATCTAATATAAAACAGCAGAACTCTTTTTATGCCTGCCTCAAATAAAAGGCCTAGTTTTCCTGCACCGCTCTCTTACCTGTAGCTCACCTCATCTTTTATAGCTTGCAAACATCATGTGGCTTTTTAAAAGGTACCACTGCCCTGTCTGACACAACAGTTATGTGGTACTGAGAGTAACAAAAGACACAGCTCATCTGAAAAGCTTCTATATCCCAGTGCAAACATTCTGCTTGTTTAAAAGGCTTTTAATGTCTCAAATTGTGCATGTTTAAGAATAAAATGGGCAGTATAACAAAGCATTAGGCCATATTCTTCATAGCCCCTTCTCCTGCATTAGATTTAAAAAGGCTGTTCTTTGTAGGACTACAAAGCATGTACAATAATATTTGAGAACAATTCTTTATCTACATTCATTGTCTCAGACAGGACTCTTTATATTCTGCTTATGCTTGAGGCTAATGGCTTTGTGCGACAACTGGGTAGAAGACTCAACTGAAATGACCTATTCTGCCTGGTAATTTGTGTACCTGCTAATATTTTAGATGCAAGTCAAGGCCAAGACCTGGACACATTGGGTCCCAGTCAGGAGCAAGACTTTGAGTCTTTGAGGCAAGAGTAAGAGTGGCCAAGACTGAACAGAATTTGCTTGTAGTTTATTGTACTATTCTTTAGTTTATTATACTTATTATAGTTCATTTTACATATATATTAATAAGTAATAGAATATTTTATAATAAATGTTGTAAAATATCATTAAATAATATATAGCCTAAGAATAGTGTTAATTATTATTTTATTAATGTCTTGGTCCAACTTGGCATTATTAGTTGAAAGTAAACAATGATGAGGTTAATTTCTGTCCCTTCCTCTCTATATCTTTTCAGAATCACCACCTAAAGTCAACTGAACAAAAAACAAACAACATACATCCATTTTTTGAACGGAAATACAGTAATAATTACATTCTGATCTGCCCTCAGGGGACGACTGAATTTTGGATCTAATAAAAAAAGATCAATAAACAAATAATCAATTAGATCCTCAACCAGAAGTGAACAGATTTAGGGACTCTTATTCTGTTTAAAGGTTTTACTGATGATCAATAACGATATGTTTACTTTCCAGTTACCCCAAATGAAATCGGTTGTTGGATGATATAGTTCAACTGTTTTGACTGTACACCACCTATTCACCTCAACATTGTTTATAAACACACACACACACATACAGCAATTTTAAATAAAATAACCCTGAGCCTCACTTTTAATTAATAAATGATTTTATTTCCCGTTTTGAAATTTATGACTCCAACCATATGTGTGTGTTACTGCTGGTGTGGGTTTTCTCGCACCTAAAGATGCAGAAAAACACTACGACTGCTAATAGTGCCCTTCTTGTGGGGAATCTGAATTATGGTGAAATTATTTGTGGAGAAATTAATTATCTGTATAGATCTCAAGTCTAACATTAAAATACTACAGAGCCCCTAAAGTGTCTTTGCAGAAAAAAAATATTTGCAACAACATTGAATTCCCTTGCTGAATGTTTTGCATTCCCTTGGAATTAATTTTGTGCTCCCTTCAAGATCCACTGCATTTGCAAGAGAATACAAAATTATTGCGAGGGAATATAAATGTATCGTGATTAAAGGAAACATTTGCAAGGGAATGCAATGTCATTCCTTTTTTTCAACCATGGCTCTGTAAATACAGACATTTAACAAACTGTTAATGTACTTAATGTAACTGTACTTTTTAGAAGCATATTGTTGTTTTGTATCTCAGTGCCAAAAAAAAAAAAATACCAAAAAAACCCCACAACTTTTATAGCGCCAGCTTCTTCATTAGGGTTATTTGTGCTGTTTTTTTTTATTTCTGTCTTTATATTTATTAATGTATTTATTTAAAATGTGGATTTATGTTTTTGCTCCGTACCAGTGAGCGGCGCTAGAGTGCAGAAGCTACTTTTACTCAGGACTCCAGAGAAGTGAGAAGAGTAAGTGAGCGTCTGACAGCGGCTCACCGAGGCGTTATTCTCGAGTTATAAACGTTAGTTAGGTTAAGTTAGTTGATTTAGACCATAAAAAAAGGTTGTGATAAATTTTCTCCCCTTAGTTTTTCTGCCGGAAGTTTAATCGGCTATCTTGTCGTAGTTAGCATGTTCGCTGCCTAGTTTAATCTCAGTTGTTCTGTTTTTCCGGTTGTTTTTTTTAGTCTCAGCTATGAACAGAAAAAGGACATTAATTCCGGACGCGTTTCGCACGAAGAAACGAAGATTTGGAGCCGACAACCTCATCGGAAATCCGGAACATGGAGATGTTCAAGGCAGGTCTTTCTGAATGGCTGTGATTCACTGGCATTTTTAGTTGGTCTAAACTGTTTACTGACAGTATGACGGTGTCTGTCCTGTAGTTATATATTGATCAAGTTCATATTTCGAGTGTATTTATGGCTAAATACGTTTTTTTTTTGTGCTTTTTTATTTAAACAGAAGGGCCTCCTGATGTTAAGGCCACACTGCAATACCTCATGACTCTCTTTCCACGCAAATTGTTTAACGACAGCCTTCCACAAATTGTCCTCAAACACCAGCTGTACAGTTTACACAGTGACAAAACCTTGGTGGACAAGCAAGTGGTAATTTTCTTCATCTCTGCTTAAGCTATTTTGCGTGTAGTATGTAGTAGGATGTGTAGTCAAAATGTAGTTGTACTTTTAATTGTACTGGCCTGTATGAACATCATCATGGTAAAGCATCAAAAGTAGTAAAAGTGTTGACTGAATGGAAGAAAAAGTGTTGAATGATGCTCACGCTTGTGTGCTCTGAACTCCCTGGCCTGGTCCAATCTTTTCCACAAAGGGTCGTTGTAGCTGCAGGTTTTCAAACCAATCTAGAAGGAGCACACGTTATATAACTGCCTAGTTGTTTTAAGACTAAGACTAACTGACTAAACAAGTGAAATCATTTGTGCTCCAACCTAGTTGAATTGAGGACCAGCAGCCAAACAGGCCCTTTTTGGGTAATATTAGGTTCTGAACACTGAAATGAACATCCAGTGAACAATCAAAGAAACTATTTGCATGTTTAAAGCGTTCTTTGTATGATAGAATGGTTCTTCAGACTGATGGAGAATATGTTGTGTATGGCTCTATATAAATATATTCCTTTTTAAAAAGGGTTCTTCTATTGTATAGAAGCTTGACATCGCAACAATAGAACAACCTTTTTTGTGCTTTTTGATGCTGTAAAGAAATATTTCCAAAAAAGTTCTATATAGAACCATATACAACACATTCTATATCAATCTGAAGAATGATTTCATGATGCAAAGAACCCCTTAAGCATGCAGATGGTTCTTTGAGTGTTCATGGTTCTACACAGACACAGAACCACCATCTGTACTAAAGAACCCTTGAAGAACCATCATTTTTAAGAGTGTAGTCCTAGCTCTGGTAATAGGCCAGGGGTGCTCAGTCTCTTTACTGGGTAATTCAACACACTATGAACATCATTTAGGTTTCCTTCCTCTAGCACACCTAATTCAACCCATGAACTAATTAACAAGCTCCTCCTGTGCTGGCTCAGATGTGTTAGTTGGGAAAACTTGAAAATGTACAGAGCATAGGGTCCCCATGCCTGACCTTGGGATCCTTTGTTTTAGATGATCTTTCTATCTACCTAGTCACAATTACGCTTGTTCTTTCTCTGTGTTGGCAGAATGAGTTGAGAGATCAAGGAGAGCTGCTGATGTTTCAGCTGGGCTTTGACTCCGACACCTTTGCCCTGGTATTTTCTGTGGACTACAGAGCCAAAGTTCTGGCAGGCGAGGCTGGAAGAGCCACTCTGGGAACTGTGGAGAAGTTTCTTGATAAAGTACTGCCTGGTTGCTCAGACCTGAGTTTCAGCAAAGACAAAATGCTGAAGCAGTTCCTTTTCACAGATTCAGAGATAACGTAAGGGGAACGTTATAATTAGTCCTAGCACACGCATTGCTCCATGAAGCTGCCCTGTGTATTTATGGATGTCCTGTTCACAACAGGCAGCTTGTCAAGTCAGGGGTTTTGACTGTGAGAGATGCTGGCAGCTGGTGGCTGTCTATTCCAAACTCTGGCCGATTCACCAAATACTTCATTCAGGGTGAGTGGAACAACAAAATACACTTACCACCTTTTCCAGCTGCCCTAGCCTAACAGTGTTCATTGTTCTTTCAGGACGCAAAGCTGTTCTCAGCATGGTCAAGAAGTCAAAATATAATGAAATTTTAAAGACTGATTTGGAGGAACGTCGCACCACTTCACAAGTTAAACTACACATGAAGTACCACATTCATGATATAATTGGTGCGGAACTGGTAGAATGGTAAGACTGTGTACTTGTTGTGTTTCCGATACACCTTATTTTTTATGTATTTAATTACTAAAATTCCCGGTTTCTCTTTTTGTAGCATACAGACCACATCAGGGACTTTGTTACGGTTTATGGACACTTGATCTTCGGCCCTTGAAGTTTAAATGCTACAGAACAAAATGAACTTGGAAGGCTTATGAGATTTTTCTCCCCAGCCTTCTGGCAAAGTCTCAGAAAATCTGCATCAAAGAAGAGTGCTAGGTTTGTATATACCTCACAAGAGTGATGGACATGACCAAAACTGGTCTAGCATTAATGTGTTCTGATCAGGCAGCTGCCAAATATGTGCAATTCACCAACCCTAAAGCACGTAGTGTACCAATGCCAGGAACATTTATTTATGAAAAATTCATTCAACTTGCTTTCAAAGAGAAGCATATTTATTTATTGCCTTAAATTCAGTGGCATTTTTTTTTATTATTTGCCAACTGCAGTTTTCTGCTGACTGAAATAAACGTTCCAATTTCAGTTGTTTTGTCTTTGGTTTATACGCTTTTCAGCTTTCGTAAAACTGTATATTGTATCATAGATTAATTAGTCCCCTTGTGCTATGCAGTTATAGTTTTAACCATAGGGTCAACAAAAATAGTCACATTTAATTATGATTTATTTCTGTTACCATGTTTGTATAACAAGTGATTAGGATTAGCCCTAACAACAGGGTTACAGCATTGGCTATAACTGTGCAGACAAAACTTATACAATGGCAAATGCACATTTCTATACTTGGAATTTGGGACAGTGGTTCAAAACAAGCCTTAAAATGTCACACTACATGACATTTTCATGCTCTTAGAAAAGCAATTACTATGCAGATATGACAGTTAAATGTTAGAGTACAAAGTAAAAATTTTAATTAGAAAATGATTAACTGTGGTGGGAGTAAGATGTCTAAAAGAAAAGAAAGCGACTTCACATAAATCTGTCATGTAGCATACGTTTCCACAGTAGTCTTGCCTTTTCATTTTCGGACACTTCCAAATATTAAAAAAAAAAAGCTAAAATGTGCCATTAACAATACCTTTTAAAATATTTTTACAACTGTATTTAAGGATTATTATAAATGCCTCAAAACCAATAAAGGATGCTGGTAGCCCTACATGCATCAAGTCCCACACTATAGCATACAATCTTTCAGACTGCAGTTTGTTTCTATGTAGTCAGAGAAGGTATATAGGCTGGGTTGTAGGTACTGGAGAGGATTAGCTTGGACCCAACAATTAGAAACATGCTGTAGCCTAATTGGGAGGTATATGTGTGCTTCATCTGAAGCATTAAAACAACACTGAAGCTATGTTTGCAGGTCCTTCAGGTCTAAAATATTTTACAGTATGAAGTCAGACAACAATAGTGTTAGAAACTTATGATCATGGAGTAATACAAATACATTGCCAGTGATGACCTCCTTCCAATACCACAACCAGATTTTTTTTTTTTAGATGGCAACTACATTGACTAACATTTAAAGAACATTACTAAAACACAGGTTATCCTATCTTGCCTATCTATCCACTGGTTATTGTTCAAACATTTTTCAAGTCAGAAGGAAATGCAACAGATGTAGTGTTTGCAATGCAAGTTCTCAGTACTGTAGTGCTATTTGGCAAGACCTTCATTCCATTCCAACAAAGACTGTAAACAAACCACATGGGCTTTTAAAAGAAGTGAACCAAGTATAAGAAAACTTCTCAAAATGTTAAAAATCTGTGTTCAAAGGCCGCAGGAATTCTAATATTCGGTATGTGCATATGTCTGTCTACGGGAAGATGGATTCGAGGTCAATCTCTCATTCCTACATCTAGAGATTATTATCAGTTTTGTGAAGATAAAAACTTGTACTGGTAGTCACAAAGGAGAGGGAGCTCTGAACAAACACGCCATTTCATTCCTCTTCCACAAAACACAGCTCAGATGACAGGCCTCGCTGTGCGTCTACAGCAGGGAGCACTTCCTCCTTCTGTTCTTGACAGGGGGAGGGCAGAGGACGGCTCTGATGGCCTCATCAAACACTGTCTTAAGGCCGCGCTGTGTCAGAGCCGAGCATTCCAGATACTTGACAGCTCCTGGAAGACAAATGGCAAAACACACTCATGTGATAACATGAATGAACTCGATTCTTGTCAAATTATGACAACTCAATATTGGTACGGTTACTATTATAATTATTATTATTATTATTGTTATTTATTTCATTTAAGTACAACCATAATTACTGAATATTTTCATTTTTGAACACTACTTCAAAATATTCAAATATTCTACAAGAATAATAAAAGAACTTTGAGATGGATGATTATTTTGTGTGACTTATTACTAAATTGCCTTTCTGTAGCAATGCATGCATTTTCATTTAAATATTCATTTAACTATTTTTTTTATTTATTCTTTCAAAAAAATAATTGGAAAAAAATAGGTAAAAAAACAAAAAAACAATTGAAACGATTATTTACAACAGAAGGGGGTGAATGATTATTATTCAGACCCTCTGGGAATATGTCATCTTGCGATCCCAAAAACTCACAAAAATTCAACCAATTCTTGCAGTATTTACCAGAGTTCACAATTTTGTCTGACCACAGCATTATTTCTGCACTAATACATAAATACATAAAGTGCTTTCAAAAGGTATCACGCAGCTTCTATTCTATGTGCCAGGAAGCCACAGTCTCAGCTGATACAGCCGCCCAAACGTAGACAAAGTGTGCGATATCTAAGCTAAGGTGGTCACAACTATCATGATTTTGTCAGTTCCATTGTGATTGCTTATCTGCATGTCTGTGTGAACGTCCTTCCATTCCTTCTTTATTTTAAAACATTTCCTCAGATTTCCTGGATATTTAAAGTACATGTTTAGCTGGCAGAGTGTACATGTGAACGGTCATATTATATTATTATTTTTTTTTTAAATCACTTGTTCTTGGTTCGGTACAGTTAATTTTCTATATGTATTGACAGAAACTTCAACATTACCATTTCAATTCATTTTGTCATCAGATTATCTGCCCTGGGATTTGATTAGTATACACCCATTTACCTCTATACATCCCACCTCTATCAGGAAGTATAAAACACTAGTCCAGGAGGTCCTGCTTGTTCTGGCAACACTGAAAAAGTTGCTGGTGCTTTCTGAATGTGTCAGTGACGAGCAAAGCAGAGGAAACAGTGTTTTTTTTTTGTTATCTAATGGAACCAACTTTTGGACAACTGCTGTCATGGGAATGACAATATTTTAGACACTACATACTTAAAATGCTAAAACTACTGACTACCAGAGCAGGCGCTACACATACTGGTCTTGATGTGGTGCAGTTCGACGCTTAATAGTTCTTAGATTTTGTTAGCCTAGTCTGCCAGTTATATTTAACACAATATCACTAACTACATTACAAAAACAACTAATGGAGTAACACTGCTCTGTACACATACCAATCTCTTTAGCCATAGCCAGGCCCTGAGGGTAGGTGATAGGAGTGAGCTTCTTCTCCTTGAGCTTCTCAATAGTGTCCTTGTCATCTCTCAGATCAAGCTTGGTTCCCACCAGAATTATTGGAGTGTTAGGACAATGGTGTCTTACTTCAGGGTACCACTGTAGAAAAAAACATGTCCAGCCATTAATGTGTTACCATATGTGTATGGTTTTTAGTGCTTCTAGTGGATGAATTGAACAAATAAATAACTAGCTACAGATCTCACCTTTGCACGGACGTTTTCAAATGAGGCAGGACTCACAAGGGAGAAGCAGATGAGAAAGACATCCTACAGAAAACAAAACCAGTCAAAACATGGCGATGGAAATGTCTTCTAAATCAATTTACTTAATGTCTATTGTCCTCTAAAATGTTCAATTTATAAGGGAAGAACATTTTCTGCATCTTCCATAAAGCAGACATGAAAAAACATGTTCCATAAAAGCAATTTAAAAACTGGTTTTAACTGAGGTGACCGGAGTCATCTTACTGTCTGTGGGTAGGAAAGAGGGCGGAGCCTGTCATAATCTTCCTGTCCTGCTGTATCCCATAGACCCAGGTTGACTGGTTTACCATCCACCATCACATTTGCAGAGTAATTATCAAATCTGCCGAATCAGAGTGGAACAAGCTTTTACAGGAATGCATCTGTGTAGCTGTGGTTAAAGTAATGAGTGATGTCATTATTACAAAAAAAATAAATAAATAAATAAATAAAAAAAGTAGTAAACACATCCTACAAGGCACCTCATTAGGGCTGGACTGAATGACAACAGTGCCATACCATAACCAAACAGATAACTGGTTACCTATATCTGTATGGGTTCAACATCAGAATTGAACTATTTATCAACTCCACGATGAGTAAACTGTTAAACAGTTATACATACTCACACAGAAAATAAGTATAACGACTCAGTGGGCCTAGAATGCTTTCTATATCCACTAGTTAAAAGTGTGGTGACAAATGTTTTTCACAGCAAAAATGTTTGATAGGTTTAATCTGATCTATTGCATGAATATTGCATGTTTCTAAACATAATCCCAGCAGAAATTAATCTAAAAAATGTTTTGGAATGGTCAAACTAGGGGTGGGCAATAAGACAAATGACATCACAACATGCTTTTCTAAGCGTATAATGGGTATCGTCATCTAGTACATTAGAATAAATGAAAAGCTTTAAAAACTTTACAGAACCTGTGAAAAACAACCAGTGGTATTGTGAGGAGGAGCTGATTAAATATCAGCCTTCTAGGCCAATGTCTTATTTATAGTTCTGTAAAAGTTTACATATTTGTGTCAAAACAAATTATTAACAGCACAAAATGTTTTTCAGTCTAATAGCACTTCTTCGTTTGGTTGACCATCTAACCATCTGCTGTACTGCAAGGCTGAAGCTCAGCTGCTTGTGCATTATTATGATGTGACTGTCTTGTTCAAATACAGCTTGTGTATTCCATCATTTGACAGCCGTACCTATTTATTTTTGTGCTATGTATTATGTATGGTGAAGACGTCTTCATGCGTCACAATATTACATATTTTTCTACACCCAGTTCAAACCAAAAAGGTATCAGTGAACCCCTGTGAGATTTTCAGACACAACATATACTCACACTGTAGGGATATACTCTCCAGGGAATGCATTGGTGGTATAGCTGATCAGCAGGCATGTTTTACCAACAGCCCTGGAATAAAGCAGAATAAAGGGAAGTTAACATTACAGCAACTTTAGGAGCAACTCAATGACCTCAAAGGAAAGGGAGAAAACTTTTCTGAGGAACAAGCAGATATAGGGTAAAAGTCAATGTGAGTCAACAATTATTACGCATCTCTTCCAAACTATATCAGGGAGGCTCTCTGAACAAGCTGAGCATTATTGCTCAGTGATGGGTGGGAGTAGAAGGAGTGGCATTCAAAACATGATATTAATTTTAATATTATTTTTCCCCTCCTGCTGGTGCATAGTGATGTAACCAAAAATCAGAAAGCATTTTTTAAAAAAAATAATCATTAACTGATGGTACCAAGGGCCACTATGAAGCATAAATGTGTAGTTTATATATACAAGTTTTGATTTTTTTTTTTTCCTGAAAAAGGCAGATGTTATTAAGACAGCTAAAGAATGTACTAAAGTACTGCGGCGTTTTTCCTACTACTGTCTTGTCTTACACACCTATAAAATCAAGCCCTCCTCCTCCAAATAAGTCTGGAGGAAAAAAGACAGAAATGATATGAGTTGAAAAGGCATGAGCTCCAGAATAACAAAAGGAGCTTGCTTCAATAGTTATCCTTGTATCCTTGAATTTCTTCTAGTATTTGTCCCACTTTTGCTTCAGTCTCTGATGAGTAGATCAAATCCACTTAAGAGTTTCAATGGAAAAGATTATTATTTTTAAATCTGATTTTTTTGTACAAAGACATTAACGTGGTCAGTGTCACAGATTTGCTGAAATTTGAACTGAATCGTGAATATTTTTTCTTTATTTCACTTGTCATAACTTTTTGTTAATGTATATGTCTGTCTGTCTGCGATAGACTGGTGACCTGTCAAGGGTGTATCCTGCCTTTCGCCCAGTGACTGCTGGGATAGGCTCCAGCTCCCCCCGCAAACCAGAAGGACAACAGCTTAGAAGATAACTTTCTGTTGCTTTAATGTTTTCCTAAATTCGAAAAATTTCTGTTGATTTTCTAGGTTTAAATGCCAGACTTTTAATGTGGTCTCTAGCTTGCTAACAAATGAAACATTGTTCACAGAGCATAATTTATGAAGTTTATAACACAATATTGTTTATTTGAAATTTTTTACATTTCTCTTTAAGTAGAGATGTGTAGAGTGGTCTCAAACTAGAGCAAAGTAAAAGCACTGCTACGTTTTACTTAAATGATGAAAGCAGAAGAAAAAGTAGCTAATAAAAATTGCTTGAGGAGGAGCCAAAAAGTATAGAGTTAAAAATATATATATTGAGAAGTGTACTGGTACTTCTGATTTATCCAGTATCTTATCAGCTCAAGAACTGAAGTTTGTTAGAACTTATTCTTCTATTTTAGGATCCTTTTGATGTAAAATAAAATGCTAAATTGCAAGGGCGAGAAATGTGAGCAACAGCAAAGAAGTGCATGTGCTAAAGCAACAGAACAAAGAAATCAAACTAATGCCATTTCTCCACTGGTGCAGTACAATACAGGACAGTTATAAATTTGTAATTGCGCATTTTGTCATCCTTTCCACTGCCTAGGGAACCATACCGTACCAGAGTACTAATGCTGAGTTTGGTTATCCTTCTTGCTGGGACACCAACAATGCCCAGCAGGAAGATACAGGTGTAAAGGTATATCAGCACTGGAAGCTCCTCCATTGTTGCTACTGTTTTTATTTACTGTTAACACCAGATTCACATGAGAAATCAAGTGACCACACAGGCTAAAGAGAACTACTCTACTTTCAAGGTTCTATATTGTAATGGGGAAAAAAACATGGATACTCAACATGAATTGAAAATCACAGTGCATTTTCTTTCCATACTGAGACGTATTTCCAAGTGAAACACTGCATCAGGGAGGGCCTCTGAACTAACTGATGATATTATTGTTTAGTATTTTTCCAGCCTGTTGGTGCCTGGTGGTGTAACCAAAACTCAGAAGACATTTAAGAGGTGGGCACAAGTCACTTTGACTGAAGATTATGGAAACACAAGACTTTTGTCTTTTAAATGACATGATAAATCATGCTAAATATGGCCAGGCACCTGAAACTCAATACGTAACTGTTCTAAATCGCCTGTACAGCACAGAGCAAGGTTTAGCTGTGAGTTCATCTCTTATGACAAACCCGTCCTAAGCCAGTGGTTTTTACTTCTCCCAATGTATGATTTAACAGCTGGGTTTTCCCAAGCTTTTCCTGGCACCAGGATTACTTCATTAGAACGAACAGACCCACACCCACTTCTCGCCTTCGTAATCTCTCAGAACAAACAATTCAAGAAATGTAATAACTTCCTTGTTGAAACTGGTAGTACACAGGTGAAGTGTCCTGAGAGAGAGAGAGGGACAAAAAAAACCCTCAAAATCTGGGTTTACTTTACATTATCGCTGTTAATGTGCTGCCTAATGCCTGAGACACTTTTATGAAAGTTTAGAGATAAGATTCTAGCCTAAAACATTATTTCTTTTTACTACTCAGGGTGCAGAAGTACATGCAGGGTGGTGTAACGCAAAATAGCACCCCCAAATTTCTTTTTTTTCCCAATATACAACTATTTTACGAAAACTGTGTTTTATCTCAAAACTTTAATGAAACAAATTTTCAGACATCAGGGAGTGTCAGCTTTCTGTCAGGGAGCTTTTAGAGTCATTAAACTCTTTAGATATCTGGTTCCTGTAACCACCACTGTGAACAACTCTGACTCAGTAAGTTTCTCTGAAACAGAGAATTTCGCACCAAACCACTCTGCATCACTTTGTTTACATCTTGACCATTTAATTATTCAGAAATTTTGAAAAATCGGTGCAATTCCCCTTTAAGCTATACTGCAGACTCATGTCGTTATACCTTAAAGCACAAGTTAACAAATGAAGAATGACCACCTATTCTTGTGATATTTAGATTAACGCAAATAACTTTCTTACTACTTTTTTCAGCTCTGATCCACTTCATGTATTAAGACGGCTAACAAACCCAGTCAAAAAACTCACTTACACTTACACAAAACAGCTAAAAAAGATGTGAGAGAAGAGAAGATCTCAGGTTTTCTGCTGCGAGTCATTAACTTCACAGATGTTGCTGATCTAAACTGGCGTTAACCAGCTAAACTCCGTCACGGGCGGTGCGGCACTTCTCTGACCGCTCAAACGCAAAACCGCTCGATTTCTTTAATGAAAAGCATAAAGTGTCAAGACGAAAACTGTAAAAAAAAAAATAAATAAAAAATCTCAATCTGCTTACCCGTCGCCGACAACGACGCACTTTATGGCCTGCATTGGTCCGGGATATCCTGAGGCGTTTCTCGCTTCCCCTGCGTGGCTTTACGAGCTAACCAGCTAACTAGTTGTTAGCTAATGTGCTAATAAGTGTCCAAACAACTTCGCCGCAGTGTTTCACAAAACTCAAACTCCTCTACGAGCCGAGCTCGTTTGAAACCGCACACTAATTAAATTTTCAAGTAAAGTTTATATTCCCTTATCACATTCCAGCCTCCTGCTGTCCGGATTCAGCGAAGTAACAGAGAAAAGTTTGTAGCCTCCACCCAAGAAAGCAGCACCCTCATAACCGTACAAGCCCCTTTCCGGCTCAGCGACTTTTCACAAGAAAAGTCTCTCCTTTCAGGGACTTCGATTAAAATAGTTTACAAAATAGTTCGTTTAAAATAAATTCAATTAGTCTTATTTTTTGAATGTGCCGATATTTTGTTCTGACTACAAAAGAGTTCAATGTCAAGTCTGTGTTAGTACAGTAAAAAGGAAATAAACATTACCATAAAAATAAAAATAAAAATAAACATTACCATAAAATCCTCACTTGAAACAGAAAATGGCTAAAGCAGTGGAACTGTGGAAATTTGCGTGAGCAATTAAATTTACAACAACATTACTTCAAATGTTGATTATTATTATTATTGTTATTATTATTATTATTATTATTATTATTATTATTATTATTCATACAACTTTTACACCATAACAGATCGTTTCCTTTGAGGGAAGTCAAGTGTGGAGTCAAGCGTCACAGAGCCCAATAATAAAGGAATGAAATAAGAAGCGGGAGGGACATTTCAAATGAACTTATAGATACGATGGTGGAATTCTAAAAGTAAATACAGCTTTTTTGCTTTCAATTCTTACAACAGTCTTATATATACATACAATACCTGCACTCAAAATCTGGGGTTTACGTTTTTGCTCGACATTTATGAATGTAATATTTCCCTAAGAGTGATGATCATTTTATAGCATTATCCATATGTTTACAACCTGTGCTTATCTTTTTTTTTTTTTGCTTTTCCCCATTTTGCACTTTTGTTCAACAACAACAACAACAACAACAATAATAATAATTATAATAATAATAATGTACAAAAACTGCAACGTTTACGTCACCGGAAGCTGCCAGTCAGTCACATCCCTGCTGTGTGTCGGGATTTTTCCTCCGGAGGAGCTGAGCAGCAGTGCAGTGCAGCGCCCAGGGCGGAGTATGAGTCCACCTAGACTGCGACATCATTTCGAGCTCAAAACAAACCCAAAATCATGCTCACCCAGTGCAGGATAACGAGTTGGTTTTGACCGAACTGCCTGTTCTGGAGCGCAGAGCGGTTCATCCAGCCCAGCAGCCTCTTATGGCGGGACTGTCGTACTTGGTGCTGCGATTTTCGGGCTCCGCTGGCCGGACCTACGGGCTGTTCTCTAAGGGACTAACGAGGACTCTGCTCATATTTTTCGATCTCGCGTGGAGACTCCGAATCCGATTCCCGTATCTCTACCTCATCGCCTCCATGATGTTCAATGTGCGCTTGCAGGTAACAGTCCGAGTGTTCACAGGCGGAGGAGGCCCATCTCTATTTTAAGCTCCAGCGAGACCGAGCCAGGACAATCCCATAACAAGTCAGCCTAGCTGTTAGACGTATGACGGCAGTGTTTGCTAGCACGGTGTGAAGTGGGCGAACTAGCACAAATTCACTGGTTACATGAGTGTTTTTAGCGCACTCGTGTCTTAAAGAGCTACATCCAGTCTGTTACTGAGATTAGTGAGTGATCTGTGACTGAGTTGATCTCTTCTAGAGTTGTTTTAATTGACCCATTACAGTTTGCACTGATTCAATGATTTGGCATTTCGAGCACCTTAAATTACTCAAGTTTTAAAATCCCTCTTTAGTCAAATTATGCTTGTGAGAAGTCCCTCTCAGTGGGCCTTACCTGGTAAAGTAAAGGCTTAAACATGCAACAAAAAAAAAGAAAAAAAAACTGCGAAACTTATTTATGTGGAGCTGGACTTGTCAAAGCAACACAATAACTAACATAAATGCAGTTATTTGGATATCATCTTAAAGCGGCACCCCTGACAAAATGATAAATATAAACATTTATTCATTTGTACTACTCGCCTCCTACAGGAGTGCTTAAGAAGTCTCTAGAGTGAGATTTTCTGGTTTTAGGACTAGTAAAATCCCCTTCTGATGATTTGTGTTAAAGGTGGGAGGAACATTTACAAAACTGCTTTGGGGTGGGTACTTGAGGGCAGGCTGTCTGCTAGCTGACAAATGCAGAAGCACTAAATGACAAACTAGTATTTACTATATCATTTTAGGTGGGAAAGTCCCTTTAAAATGAACTGCTGAGTCTGTATGGCTTCAGAATTGGCAACTGATAGGTCTCTGATATCTAGGAAAGTATGGAATTTATAAGCACCTGTTTTCAGATGAAAATGGAAATTAAGAAAAGGTTTGTGAAACTGTGGATGTGTTGTCATTTAGTAATTTGGGCACAAGTTGCCAAGATTTAAAATTCAAAAACACACTTAGTGACCTCTACAAGATCATGAAGGGAGTGCAAAGAACCTGATAGACTTTCCAGGCTGTGCAATAGTATATTAATGTCTTACCTCTTTTCTTTGTGTAGGTTCATATTGAGATACATTAATATTCACCCATGAACTTCCATCAGCTGAAGGCCCAACCTCCTGAGACGGAATGGCCATTTACCGCAGCTTCAGAAGTCGTCCAAGGTGAAAAGATTATGCAATACTGGGAGAAATATGGACACAAATGTGAAGACAGGGCTGCCATCTCAGCCACTCTGTACTCAAGCAGGCCTGTATTCAGAAAAGGCCTTAGTCACTCCAGTAAGGACAAGAGCCCTGTGGGAACATACAGCTAGGCATCTCTCACAGTGTCCCACTGCTGCTTGCTGTGACTTTGCCAGCCTTTAGTGGACCAGGCATAGTAGCCAAAGGTGATGGAAGGAATTTTCAGGGTGTTTTTAAAAATCCTGTTCGCCTAGAGTCATTTGGAAGCTCTGCTTATTTGTAACTGCAGTAGTGACCACCTAGAGCCTTGATATTTATAGAATTTATACAATTTTAAAGGGATGGGTTCTTAGGCATTTTTAATAGCATCTGTACAGCTTTGAGAGGTTTATCAGTGTTGAGATATGACACATTTACACTATATGGTCAAAAGTATGTGGACACCTAATTATTGAGTTTAGATGTTTTTGCCACACCTATTGATAACTGGTAGAAAAAACCAAGCACACAGCCATGCAGTCTGCCATAGACAAACATGAGCAGTAGAATGGGTCTGCCATGATCAATTGTAAGTGCTGTTATTCTGAAATGGAAGCATCTAGGAGCAGCAACAGCTCAGCCACAAAGTGGTAGACCATGCAAACTCACAGAGTGGGGCTGTTGAGTGTTGAAGAATGTAGAGTGCAAAAATCTTCTGTTATATCACTCATGCACAGTTTCAAACTGTCTCATCCAGCATCACTGGCTGACACAAATCTACACAAAGTCTCACAGACGCACTCCAAAATCCTGTGGAAAGTCTTCTCACTAGAGTGGAGGCTGTTATAGCAGCAAAATGGGGGTCAACTCAATATTAATGCCCATGGTTTTGGAACGGGATGTCCAACAAAATCCTAAAAGTGTTATGGTCAGGTGTCCACACAGGGAGTTTTATCGTTTTTGGTCATATAGCAGTTGACTAATCTCACACGTTCATTGTATGTAAACTAATGATGATGGCTATATTATGTCTCCCCTTATGGAACCTGTCATGGGATGTGGTTTCTTTTATTTATTTCGTGATTCAGCATTCTATTAAATTGCATGTGTAAGATAACATGGGTGGGATTTCATTTTCCTTTTGTCATCACACCTGGTATTTCTCCTGGGGATTTATGAAGTAGCAGCTTTTTGCCTACATTGAAATAGCCTAAAGCTTATAATGTGTAAACAGAAGTGCATATTGTTACTAAAGGATGTTACTACATTTTAGAACTGTGAAATCTGGTACACAAATGTGCAAGGTGATGGTTTTCATTGTTGACACAGGTTCAGCCAATTTGGTGAAAGTCTTGTGATGGGTGGTGTGACACCAAAAATCACAATCACCGCATGCTCATCATGGGAGAAAGTAGTGTTGTAATGTTTATTTAATTTTATTTGTTTAAAGAGTTCCTCTGAACAGAAATCCTGCCATGTTATCTCTGGCTACATCTCAAATGGCTCCTTACTGGATATATAGAGCACCACTGTTTCATACACTGTCTGAAACTATATGGGGAGTAGGGAGCCATTTGAGATTCAGTACTGCTTTTCTTTAAATTTCATCTCGTCTGCATAAATCACCTAATATACAGCAGCACAGTGGACATTGTTACTTTAAAAACTAAAGTGATTTATGTATGATTTTATGTATGGTAGTTGTTTTTGTCAGTAATGAATGTGCATTATTTTAAATGTGCAGACTTGTTTGAATAAGGAAGATATGTAATCTAATTTAATTTGAACTTTGAAACAATAAATTATTGTTTCTTAACTTTAAATCTAGTGTATGTTTTTTACAGACTACTGTCTACTGCACACATTTCTGTGTTGAATGGGAAAAATGATTCCACCCTCTATCTTAGTTCATTTATGACCACTGTTGAGATTATAATGAAGTTTAAATCTACTTTATTCCCAAAAATATTTTGTTGCCTCAGGGCAACACCGTGCCAATCACCTCTTGCTGTACAATGTTGCCTTTAGGCTAAGCCAAGAAACACTGAACTTTTAAATGTATAAACAACACAACCACAACAAAAGCAATTTCAAAACATGCTTCTTAAGCCCTGTTTAGTAAGTTTTAGGCACCTGAGAACATTAAATATTTTCAAAATCATTTAACTGGACATTAAGTGTCCAGTTAAGAATAACTGCAAATAATATTAATATAATAAGTAGTAATTTTATGTATGTCAGTGTATGTATGTCACTTAACCATGTCCAAACTTCTCTTCAAGGAAGCCCAGTATTAATTGTAGTTCAGATACCTAGTTTTGCCAATCAATGCGTAATTATGTAAAATCAGTTGTGCTGGATTTGAACAAAACTGCCATGGCAGTGGGCATCAAGGAGAAGTGTGGAACAAAACCTTGTAGAAACAAGAAATTCTTGGTACTTTTTACTGCAGTAATGTTTTTGTTTATTCAAATGTTGTATGGAGTTTTTACAGAGACGCACATACCGACAAGTGAAATGTTTTAAATAATTTGCCCAGGTGCTTAAGACTTTTTCACAGTACTGTAAATATATTTTTATTTACTAGTTGTATATACAGTCATGGCCAAAATTGTTGGCACCCCTGAAATTTTTCCAGAAAATGAAGTATTTCTGCCAGAAAATTATTGCAATCACACGTTTTGTTATACACATTTATTTCCTTTGTGTGTATTGGAACAACACAAAAAAACGGGGAAAAAAGCCAAAAATGATATAATTTCACACAAAACTCCAAAAATGGGCCGGACAGAATTATTGGCACCCTCAACTTAATATTTGGTCGCACACCCTTTCGAAAAAATAACTGAAATCAATCGCTTCCTATAACCATCAACAAGCTTCTTTCACCTCTCAACTGGAATTCTGGACCACTCTTCTTTTGCAAACTGCTCCAGGTCTCTCATATTTGAAGGGTGCCTTCTCCCAACAGCAATTTTAAGATCTCTCCACAGGTGTTCAATGGGATTTAGATCCGGACTCATTGCTGGCCACTTCAGAACTCTCCAGCGCTTTGTTTCCATCCATTTCTGGGTGCTTTTTGAAGTATGTTTGGGGTCATTGTCCTGCTGGACGACCCATGACCTAGGACGCAAACCCAGCTTTCTGACACTGGGACCTACATTGCGACCCAAAATCCTTTGGTAATCTTCAGATTTCATGATGCCTTGCACACAGTCAAGGCACCCAGTGCCAGAGGCAGCAAAACAACCCCAAAACATCTTTGAACCTCCACCATATTTGACTGTAGGTACTGTGTTCTTTTCTTTGTGGGCCTCATTCCAATTTCGGTAAACAGTAGAATGATGTGCTTTACCAAAAAGCTCCATCTTGGTCTCATCTGTCCACAAGACGTTTTCCCAGAAGGATTTTGGCTTATTCACGTACATTTTGGCAAACTGCAGTCTAGCTTTTTTATGTCTCTGTGTCAGCAGTGGGGTCCTCTTGGGTCTCCTGCCATAGCGTTTCATTTCATTCAAATGTCGGCGGATAGTTCACGCTGACACTGATGCATCCTGAGCCTGCAGGACAGCTTGAATTTCTTTGGAACTTGACTAGGGCTGCTTATCCACCATCCGGACTATCCTGCGTTGCAACCTTTCATCAATTTTTCTCTTCCGTCCACGTCCAGGGAGATGAGCTACAGTGCCATGGGTTGTAAACTTCTTGATTATGTTGCGCACTGTGGACAAAGGAACATCAAGATCTCTGGAGATGGACTTGTAACCTTGAGATTGTTGATATTTTCCCACAATTTTGGTTCTCAAGTCCTCAGACAGTTCTCTTCTCCTCTTTCTGTTTTCCATGCTTAGTGTGTACAAACAGACACACAATGCAAAGATTGAGTCAACTTCTCTCCTTTTTATCTGGTTTCAGGTGTGATTTTTATATTGCCCACACCTGTTACTTGCCACAGGTGAGTTTGAACGAGCATGCCATGCTTGAAACAAAGTTATTTACCCACAATTTTGAAAAGGTGCCAATAATTTTGTCTGGCCCATTTTTGGAGTTTTGCATGAAATTGTCATTTTTGGCTTTTTTTACCACCTTTTTGTGTTGTTCCAATACACACAAAGGAAATAAACATGTGTATAACAAAACATGTGTAATTGCAATAATTTTCTGGGAGAAATACTTCATTTTCTGGAAAAATTTCAGGGGTGCCAACAATTTTGACCATGACTGTATTTAATACAGTAAACAATGCATTATATACATGTGCCCCCAGTGCTTAATAAAGGGGTGCTTTACCTCCAAATGATGCATGACGTCACACTTCATTGGACTGTTCTTGTTCTGACACATTTTGATCACTTAAACTAATTTAAATAAATGTGGAGAACTGGGAGGTTTGAAAGGTTTTCTGTTGCCTGAGCAATTGTGCACAGTAGAGGGTTATCTTCTTCTAAGCATAGTACTAGACCAAATCATTTCATGGAGAGCCCCTACTGACGGCGCTGTATAGGTTTTTAATTCGTTTCTTTAAAACTGGACTGAAAGCTTGTCCTCAATTTGTTTGTTTAAAAATGTCAAAAAGTCCTGTGTTGCAGCTCCAGGATCTCCTTGGAACATTCTGACCCCTCATTTTCCACAAATCTGCAATGTGTTGTGTTAGTTTTGCTCTGGTTTTGTTCTTGTCTGTTTTCATGTAAATAGCTGTGTTTTCAAGTGTGCCTCATTAGTTTTTCAGATTTTTTCTTTACTTTTTCTTGCTTGTTCATGACTGGTTGATGGATTGGCCTGCATTTTGTCTTTCTTGTGATTGCTGCCTCTCAAAATGTATCCAGTGTATCTACTTACCAACATCTGACTTTTCAATATTTTAAACTGAAAAACCGCATTTTTGTTTATGAATTAGAAAGTATACTTAAGTTTTGTTTTAGAAAATACATAATATATAATATTGTAACATTTACCACTGATAAGAGTCACAGCTTTTGGACAAGTCTTGGTACTTTATTCCCCGGCTGTTGGCCACAGCTACGCAGAACATCAGAGAACTTGTGGAGAGCAGAATTACCGCTCTGTAATGTCTCTTGGGTTTCTCAGACGCTAGAGCGAGTCCAAAATGAATGGGTTAAGATTGAGCATTTGAGCAAAATCATTGTCTAGACTTAAACATTTTTAATGTAAAAGAATACATTCATTTTCTGAACAAAGAACAGCATAAACCATTTTAACACTGCTGTTATATTTTTAGAAGTTTTAAACTCGAGTTATAGAAGTTCAAAATGGCGCCTCACACGAAGTGACTGCTGCACCATTTAAGGTGGAACGGGAAAAGGAAGCTAACTTCAGCTTCATCCTTCTTACTGTGTTTTGGGGGGGTCTATTTTATTTTTATGTGTATTAAGATTAGAAGTGATTCACACATTGATGGATTTGCTGATGTGTGTGAGATTATGTTTCTACCGGAGCGCTAAACTCGGTTTTTAAACTCGGCGCAGACTGAATATTTTTCTGCTGGTCGGGACGGCTAATTATCACGATCAGTTATTAAAGAAATAAAAGAGAGCAGTCCGTGCAGCCTGGATTAATCAATGTCTGAGGATTAGAACAAAACAAATTCGGTGAAAATCGTTTCAGTAATAAGGAAGCTGTGGCCGATCTATCCTGAGGCTCATCACCTCTCAATACAAGTGAATTTGTTCACAAGCGGATCTTGAACGCTCCAACATGGTATGTATATCTATGGGTGTGTATATCTATGGGTATGTATATCTATTTATACAACAGTTAGTTCCGGCCACACAAGCTGATTGGTTGAGAAGCGTTCTAACCGCGCTGTTATTTCGCCATAACATCACGGTTTTTTTCACAAACACTGTATCACTCCGCCGAGACGCCGTTGCTAGGCAACGAGTTTGACTGCTGTAGGAGACGCTCAAGCCATTTGAACGTTTTTACTTCTTACTTTGCACAAAAACAGAAAATGGATACTTTTAAGATTTCATTTGACCTACAGCCGATTTAGTCAGACTCTGAAGATGAGACTACACTAAATTCCGAAACTGTCATCACCACTGAGCAAGCTTTTCTGTCGTCAGCTGTGACACAGTACTGCCCAGCAAACACATAACATTGTCACAACGTTGTCTACCTTTTTACACCGTTGCTACAACGTTGTCAAAAGGTGGTGCTGTTTATGTTGTCTGGACAAGATTGCCACAACATCACTATTCAGTATCGTTGCTGTGTGGTGTTATAACTACCTGGTGGAGACACAGCAAGATTCCGTGGAGTTCCATGCACAACATAATGAAACCTATGAGGATTCTAGGAGGCCGTGACAACGTGCTGACAACGTTGCCACTACGTTGTCACAATGTTGTCAGATAACGTTGTCACAACTTTCTGAGGAATTACTTTTCAGCGTTTTGGTCACCAAAACAATAGATTGTCACATCGTAACTGTGTTTGCTGGGTTATGACAAACATCTTATAACGTTTTTATTTGTTGTGTACACAAAGCTGCATTACAGACTACTTGGTGTATATACACGTCGCTGTGATTGGGTAACACCTCTGACACGCCCACGAAAGGAGAGAAAACGTACCTCAAAGTCTTTTCTGTACCGTTTCGAAGAGACGTGTCAAACCGTAGAAGAACTTTTCAAAATTGAACGCGCCCCGCAGAATAACCCTGTGAACACCTGGACATAACCTAAAATTAACATGTAAACATTTCTTAAATACCCTATGATACAGCTGTATTGGCAAAATTTTGGGAACAAAAACTGACAGCGCTACTGACTGGAGAGCCGTTTGGGAGCCGAA